TATCTGCAGGTTCTACCTTTGTAGATTTAACAGGATCAGAAAAACGTTGGGGAAAACCACTGTAGTTAATGTAATCCTACAGACTTTTCCAACAGTCAGTCAGCTGGACATCTGTTTACATAGCATTGTCTTGGTGCTGGGTGTCCTTGCTGCTTTCGAAATGGGTTATTTGCGAAGTACACCATTTCTGGTGAGCCACTGGGCATCTTTGGCTCAGGGCGTGGGGGTGGGCCAGCCCTGTAGCCAATGAAGGATTGCACTGTGGCCTCTTTTACCAAGTCCCTCCATTATTTCCTGACAGACTTTGGCTCCTGCAGCCCTCCCTTAGTGACAGACCCACTGGCACCAGGGAAGGCCAGGGGCCCCTCCCTTCCCCCAGGTAGTAGCTGGGCTTTTAAGTGTGTTGTACAGAGGTAGGGTGGGTAGATTTTTCTTCTAAGGTGGGAGATTGGAGCTTTGGGGGAGAGGGGATGTGGAGAAAAGGCCCAGGATGGAGACTTACTTTCTTATATGTAAACCAGGGATAAGAATAAAGCCAACCTCCCCGGTGTGCAAGGATTCTAATAAATTCTCCGAACATTTGGACAGTGAGTGCTGTCTCCTCTGTGTGGCTGGTGGCTGAGGACGAGAGCTGAGGCAGACTTGGGCACAGAGGGGTGGGGAGCTGGTGCCTCCGGAGCCTGGTGTGGTCACAAGCTGTCCCTTCTCCTGGCACCTCTGGCCATGCTGGCACGGATATGACTTGGGCTGGTCAGGACAACCACTTGGCGAGCAGGTGGAGCCTTCATTTTACCTGTGTTGGTGTTTGATGACAGCCCATGGATAGCAGAAAGATCCAGAAGCTTGCCGCCTTGGAGAGAGTGCCCCCCTCACAGTTGCTTGGGAAGGCTGAGTGTCTCAGACACTAGATTTCCTGGACTGTGAACCGTTGGTTCCCCAGAGCGGTCTTCCTGAGGCTCAAGTCCTGTGGGAATGTTTTGTTATCTGGTGTTATCTTTCTCAGGCCCTGAAATTTCTGAGGCCAGTGACAGCTGTTGCTTCTCTGGAAATCTTTTGCTGGTCAGGGGCTCAGAGGGCGGGGTCTGCACTCTTCAGCCTTGCTGTCCCTGGGGAGGTGGCCGCAGTGATGACAGGAAGTTCTGAAGTGCTTTGTGCTAAGGACATTATTTTGGGGTAAGGCATAGTGCTGGGAATCGAACTCCAGACCTTGCACATGATAGGCCAACACTTCATTAGTTGAGCCCTTTGGTTTTTATGTTAGAATCTTGCAACTTTCTTTTGTCTGCCCTCAGCCTCTCAAGTAGCTAGTATGGTGCATGCCACCAAACCTGACTTAAGCAGTCCTAAATTATTCCATACATCCCGTTTCTTAGTAATCAGGAGCCACTGGTTCTTCATTCCTCAGTCACACACAGTCCTGCAGGATAGGCCTGAGCATCCAGTCTCAGTGGGCCACCAGTCACCTCCATTCCCAGGGAAGCCAGGGCCCCCCCCCCCTTGGCACAGGGGGCTGCTACCTGCCCGCCCTGGTCTCCGGCCCCGCCAGGAGGGTCTCACGGGGACTGTCTTCCATCAGGGACTTTCTGGAGGCCCTGGATCCCTGTCCTTGTTTCAGTTTCAGCCTCCCATCCCCTGAGACGAAGAAGTGCCGGACTTGCCACAGACTGCCCAGCTTTGGAAAGCCCCCTCCCAGCAGTGAGGAGCTGCTTTCATGTTTTCCACCGAGGCACGGGAGGGGCCGCCCCAGAGGGCGGCCACCCGAGATCAGCTGCAGCTGAGGATTCTTGTGGTTGGGAAGAGGTGACTCACTCGCTTCCCCGTGCCTCTTCCTAACCACTGGAGACTTCATGGATAAACTTGCGGGAATGGGGGATACTGTGGTGGGGGTGTCTGTAAGCATGGCTGTTGGGGGGTGTAGTGCAAGTCAGCTGACCTTGTTCCTGGCTGAGGCAGGACCGTTGCCTTTCAGAAGCAGTCTCGTTTTGTTTCAGTTTTGTGCTAGTGCCGGTGCTTGAACTCATGGCCAGGGTGCTCTTCCTTTGCTTCTGTACTGACACTCTTGTTACTTGAGCCACAGCTCAACTCTTAGCTTTTTGCCCAGTAATTGGAGATGAGAGTCTCGCGGACTGACCTTCCTCTCCGGTCTGGCTTCCTTCCGGAAAGATTCTGGAGGTGTTGGCTTTGGAAGGAGGCAGAGGTGGCAGCACATGGTGGCCTGGTGACAGAGCATGGCAGCTGCACCTCGGGCTTCCCTCTGCACCCCGTGCCCGCCCCACACCTGCTGCGGCCCTCAGCCCTCTGCCAGCAGCTGCTGGAGGCTAGTGGATGGGGAGCCACAGATGTTTACTTCCTCTGCTGTGTGACCGGCTCCCGGGAACCTGCTCTCTCCCCCATGAGCTCCGCTGCAGGCTGCAGCCTCCAGGGGACTCGCTGTTCTGGTTGTTTATCCTCTGAGCACTGATGACCCACCAGCTGATGGGGACAGAGCACTGACCACCTCTCTCTGGAGTGGCAGGCAGCGTGGGGTGATGGACGGCTTTGCATAAGAAACTCAAATACTTGGGTTTTTACATTTAAAGAAAAATAAGATTATAGCTCACCTACAAGGTCCCTGGACACAGATAAAGGATTTTCAGAGATCTCTGAGACTGTGACAGTGTATTTCCACTGGTGCTTTGCAGTGGGGCAGACACAGGTGCCAGGATGTTATCTTGGATTTTTCTTTCTTTTTTGTCTGTGCCAGTACTGGGCCTTGAACTCAGAACTCAGGGCCATGTGCTCTTAAAGTTTTTGCTCACAGCTGGTGTGCTACCACCTGAGCCAGACCTCCAGGTCTGTTTTTTTTTAACTGGCTAATTGCACAAGAGTCTTGAACATTTGGGTTGGATTCAGTCCATGATCCTCAGCTCTCATAAGTAGCTTGGATTACAGGTATAAGCCACCAGGCACCAGGTAGTGGCCTTGGTTTGGTTTTTCAAGTAAGGCCAAGATTCTCTAAATCTTTGAGGCCAGCAGTTCTAAAGGAAAGTTTGGAAATAGTTGGGCCTTCATTCTCAGATGGCTCTAGGTGTTTGCTCCTCTTCCCAGATGGGTAGGAGATTCTGAACTTGACTGACTGGCTTCTGCTGGGACATTCTTGTGTGGGGGTTGCACGAGAAGAGCTCTTGGTGGATCTTGAAGAGGACTTGAGCCAGCGGGCTTGGTCCCCTGCACTCTTAACAGTAGGAGGAGTAAGTCATTCGTGGGGGTCCTTGGTGGTCCACACATGCTAGGAATGCTTTACTGCCATCCTAGAGAGAGGTGAGCAGTCCTGTGCCCCTTAGTGTGCTCCTCCCTGTGCCAGATTGCTTGGCTGCATGCCCACAGAACAGAGACCTGGGGGGCAGGAAGGAGGAAGCGAGCAGCCTTTGGGCTCTGGCTGCACCATGTGCCCTGCTCCCAGGAAGTCACCCCGGGCGGGAGAGTGCTGCCTGTGTTAGCTCGCTAAGCATTGGTTGTATTTCTTTCATAAAGTGATGCTTCCTAGATCTGCTTATTCTCTTCAGTCCTCTCACCTTGACACTGAGTAGGAAAAACTCTGAAGTTTTCCTGCATTTGGTAGGAAGGGGACACCACCCACGGTAGACGCACTCTGCCACCAGGTGCATCTCCTTGACCCATGTGGGTGGATGTGAGGCTTCTACTTAGGGTTCCAGGCTGCCTTTGGGCTCACTGTCCCTGGTGGTGTGGACAGTGGAGACGGGATGTGAGTGGATGATGGCACCCTCTTGTTTCTCACACGGAGGAGATAATGATCCCTGCCTGTCACCTGGCAGCTCCCAGTCACAGAGGTGACAGTGGGGTGAAGCAACGTGGTCTCCAGGCCTTGGGCTCAGCCCAGATGCTGCTCTGGATGGCCCTATGGCAGAGGACAAAGGCCACAGACCACCTTCCTTTAGAAGCCCCCTCTTTGATTGCCTCAGCCTTAGAGGATCATTTCCCACCTTCCTCTCACCTGCCGCTTTCTTACCACAGGTAGCACTTTCTTTTGGTGTTGGTTATTTGTGGTACTAATATCCCTCTCTGCCTCACCAGCCCCCCACCCCCCTCCTTGCACAGAGCTCTGGGTGCATGCTCCCACCTATGTTTACAGCAGAAGGTGAATGCAGGTGGGCCTCTTCTCACCAGGATTGGTGACTCTTCTGAGGATAGAGGTGCTGCACCCCCCCTGCTGCACCCGACAGGTGTGTTTGCCTGTTGTCAACATTCTCTGGTGTTTACTTGTCACCCAGGAATCTGGGAAAGGCTGCTTGGAGGAGCCCTTGATGGTCTGGTATTGAGTTTCTAGATCCCTGGACGGGTGGGAGAGGATCCTCTACTCCCCCTCTGCCTCCCTCCCACAGGCATCCTGCCAGACACCCGTCCTAGATCCACGGCTGCCTCTGACTGCAGGAAGACGGAAGGAATCTGTCTCCCAAGGTCAAGCTAAATTCAGTTTTAATAAGTAGCCCCTGGCCTGTGCTCCCTTGTTAATATCTAAAATGTGGTAGTGTTGTCATTGAGGTGACATTGAGGAGTCTCCAGTGACGATGGGAGACAGGGAGCACAGGTGCCGCCCCTTGGCAGGGGCTTTTGAGTGGTTGGTCCTGAGGGGCACAGTGTGGGCGGGGTGCAGGTGCTTGGGTTCCTCCTCAGATCTTTCTTCCCTGCTAGTTCAAAGTGTCTGCATCCTAAGGACAGAGCATGCTTGTTCCTGTTCAGCTGCAGTCTGGGATCAAGTCCTCATCTCTGTTGCGATTTCATGTTTTAGCCTTCAGCTTCTAAAATGGGAAAATTGGGGTCTCCAAGGAGTTCCACCGCAGGGGACAGTGTACAGGACTGTCTGTCTGTAGCAGAGCATCTTGATAAACTTCAGATTGGAAACCCTTCCAACCTTAATGATCTCGTTAGAGCCTCCTTCTGAAAGGTAGAACATGAAATGTGCTAGTCACATGCCACTGTGTCTTTTTGCTTCTCTGTAGGTCTGTCAGCCAGCGACCAGAAAACAGCCTTTGAAGATTCCAAGGAGGAGCTCTTTGTGGCCCTGGGTGGGCGTGCCATGGCTCCAGCAGGGTCTGTGGTTGGCTGACTTCTGTTGCCAACAGCCCTTCTTCTGCTAAGAGACTGTGAATGTGATTACTAGCTGTCAAGTTGTGTTATTTGGAAAGTCAGCTTGCAAAGCAGATGGCTCTGCTGCTGACTACCAGAGGTTCCTTTAAATAAGGCTTATCAGCTCTCCTAACTAATGCTTGCAAAATGATATTCTCTTGGAGGAGGTTTAATTGGTAGGCAGCTAGAAATGGCCCTGGAGATGACTCGGGGAGGGTGGGCCAAAGGAACTAAGCATGGGACTGGGGCACGGTGTAGGTGAGGGAGGAGGGCCAGTGGGGCTGTCCGGGACCCTCTGCCTCCCTCCCCTCCCTCGGGCGGTGTAATGCAGAGGCACTGCTTGGCTGCTGCTTGCTCGCTGCAGTGTGGACTGAGCCCAGAGGTCACCCCTCCCCCCTTAAAAAATAAAAGCCAAAATGGTGATGGGCTGTGGGGCACGGGAGACACTAAGGAGATGCTGGCCGAGTGGGTTTATCCAAAGAAAATTTAAGCACAAGCCAAGCAAGAGTATAATGCTTTCTTTTTCTTCTTCTTCTTTTTTTTAAAAGAAAAGGCAGGTCTGGCTTTTGTGCACGGATTTAGGTTTTGGAGTGACAGGCTCCAGAGCATGTGTCCTTGCGCATCGGGAGAGCCCAAGTCTCCGGGCGGCTGGGGAGAGGCCTTCTCTGCCCAGCTTCTCAGCCCGCTGGTCCAGCGCGGCAGGGAATCCTCACGGCTAGCGTGGAAAGCCAGCGCTCCACTCCCAGGCCCAGGAGGCTGGGAGGTAGTGGGCAGGCTGGCCCTGGGCCATGGAGGTTCCCTTCGAGATTGGGTGTCATCTAAGGTGGATCAAATGGATTCTTCTACTCTAGCCTCTGTCCTCACACGGCAAAGTACAAAACCTGGGATGGATTCTAGACAAAGACACAGCACCGGAGCCATCCTAACAGTTCAGTATTCAGCTAGATAGGAAAACGATTTTCTCTCTTTTATATTGGCCTTATTAACCGCCTCAGAGAGCGCCTCTGCATGTTTGAAAGTTGTCGTGGTGTCACATAGTGAGACTGGACCCTGAGAATCTGGGAGCCCTGGTTCTGGTCCTGTGCCTGCCTCAGCTGCGGTCTCTGTCAGTCATCTCTTGCCTTTTACCAACTCTGGGTGGTACTTATTCAGCTGGCAGCACGCACGGCACTGTGGCGACCTCTGGGAGTTTCACCCGCATGTCTACCCAATAAATCACCAGCCATTTTCACAACTTTGTGAATGCTTTGTGGAACTGTTACCTTGCAAAACTCAATATTTATTTGCTGAGTGAATGAAACAATTGAAAAATGAATGAGTGAGAATTTTAAGAAAGCCTTCTGTGACATCAAGGTTCTTTTTCCTTTTGACTGGTGTCAGTTCAGTGATAACCACGGGTTCTGCTGTTTGTTGTCAACAGAGCTTGTGCTAATGCTGAAAGAGATGGCATCAGTGCAAGAACAGGCACGGTGCTATGACCATGCTCACACACTCCGGGCGTGACTGTCTCTGTGAGATGTGTTGATGTGCCTGCCTTCTCCTACTGAGCCTGGTGGCCCTGGGTCCTAATCTTAAGAGGACACTTGGTTGAGATGCAAAGGTAAGATGGTCTTTCCTGGGACCACAGCTCACCTGAAACCTTGTGATGGTGGCAACCATGTTACCCAGTTATGGGCCACTTAGGGTGGGCAGATACGTTCTTGAGCGTCTTTTAAAAAATAGAGTCCCTTGGAGGTCTTTCTGGTTTATTTCATTAAATCTGAAATTTGAATTCATTCTGAAGCAACAATCCTGCTTCGCTCGACCGCAGTGCAGTCTTTTCCAAGAGATCTGGCTTGCTTTATCCTTGTCCCATGGTCAGGGCCGTGGACACAATAGACACCCCCTTCTCTGCTTTATTTTGGGCTAGTACGTCTTGGAACTAAGGGCGTTAGGCCCTCATTTGGCTTTTCCCAATGAGGCCTGGTGCTCTAATATTTGAGCCACATCTCCATTTAATTGGAGATAAGAATCTCACAGACTTCTCTGCCCAGGCTGGCTTTGAATTGTTACCTTCAGAGCTCCACCTCCTGAATAGTTAGGATGGTGTGAGCCACCTGTGCCTGACATCCTCCAAGTTTTTCATAGGGGATTAAAGTAGGGGAAACCTGCACTTGGTCCATACTGTGTCCCCCAGCCAGCTTGTCCCTAAAGAATGCTTGTCCTCTGCCACCAGTACCTTGCCTGCAGAGGCCTGAGTGTATGATGGGTTTGATGAGTGGAGAGTGTTCATTGCATTTTCCTTTTCCTTCTGTAACCTTTAAGCAAGCAGACCCTGAAAAATACACCTATGTTCAGGACAGCACAAAGGATCAACTTGTTGAACATCTGTGTAAAATGCCTGGTTGCACCAGATATGAGAATAGCCAAGAAGGAGCCCACAGGCAGCATGAATGTGGACTTGACAACTGTGCTCACACAGAAAGAAGGCCAGGCCCATAGTGCTCTGGCAGCATATCTCCCCATGGGTCCTGGAGATTTGGGTGTTGTCATCTTACAGGAAGGGAAACGGGGGATGGCCAGAGGTGGACAAGTTGGCTGGGACAGCAAGTGGGCCATCCTGCTGGGAACCACCAAGCTCCGCTTATGCCTGTCTGTGAACAGCCTTTCCCTGTTTTGGGGCAAGTGCCCTCCGAATGAGGCGAACCTGGGCTATCCAGAAGCCCCTCACCCCGGGGAGCCGGCTTGTCTGTTCTTTGTTCTTGTCCTGGGAGTGCCCTTGTTCCTGTGTAAAGCTGGAGGTTACAGGTTCCAAATACCTTTGTTTTGGAACAAGTCACTTAAGTTGCGTCTTGCCTAGCCGCCCGGTTAGGAGCGAGGCTTCAGACAAACCTGCAGCCGTAGTGAGAGACCATGAGCAGGCCCTGGGCGGGAGCGCGCTGAGGTTTCCAGGGCCGGCCCGGCTCCGGCCCCGGCTCCTGCGGCGGAAATCCACCCCGGCGCTTGGCTCCGTCCTCCGCCG